ACCCTTTAAAAGAAAAAAAATCTGAATCAACCCCAAACAAAACCTCCATTCAAGAGACGGAGAAATGCGCAGCGTTTAATTGCGCGCACGCTCACACGCACACACGCACCCGAGAGCAATTCTTCGTCCTGCCGACAGAATTAAGACGATCTCCGCCTCGTTTTACAGCTCTCCAAATATTTTGGGTAGGGGGATTGGGGAGGAATTTCGGAGCCCAGGCTCATTTCCAGAGGATTTAAGGCTGAATGCTGGCTCGAACCTTTCCCCCGAGTTCCCCCGACTTCCACCTTCCCCCGGCAACTGCAGAAATCACAGCCGAGCAGATACGACCCCCTCCCCCCCCCCCAACACCCCCAAAATAAAGCTCAAATCGCGGTGAACGAGGATTTCTTCAGGGAATACCGAACCTCCCGCCCCGTTTTTTGTAGGCGAGCCCACAAATGGACGGGGGGAGGGTGAAAACACGGAGATTTCCCCTATTTCCAAGCACCGACGCAAAGTCCGGCCCCATCCCCGTGCCGGCTCCCTCTCTCCTCCCTTGATTTCTCTTTTAAGGCGTTTATTTTGCCGGCAGGGGGTTCTTTTCCCCTTCTCCCTCCCCGCAAATCCCCGCAAGCTCGGAGGAGCCGCTGCTTTGCCCCCTTCCCCACCTCCTATCCCAAGGCAGCCCCCCACCAACCGCTCTCCCCAGTGACTCCAGTTCAGCGTTTTAAGGCCCTAATGAGTGTTGACAAGTTTAATGAGTTTGTTTTAAAGAGGAAAAAACTGGTCAAGTCGAGATTTCCGAGTCAAATCCATTAGGAGATCCCATTCAAACCTCGCCTGACAGCTCAGCCGCTCTCACACTTCACCAGCCGGCGCAGGGACCTGCAGAAACCCCAAATCCCTGCCCCAAAAGCTGAACCTCTTCCTCAGCCCCATAGCCCAGCACGGAGCTATGGGTACCTGGGGCGGATAGGGACCCGCACCCACCCCTCCCTAGCTAAAGGAAAGAGGTAATTCCCCTTTTGAGGGGCAAGGAGAGGGTCTCCCTTAAACATCTCCCACAGGGCAAGGGGTTGCAGCACGCAGAGAGACCAAACGGAGCCGTAATAACCTCTCATTTCTATTGGAAATTGCATTAAACGCCCGGCTATTTTCCTTTCCCCCCCCCTTCCCCCCTTTCCCTTTTCGTCTCTCCCCCCATCAACCTTCATATAAGTAAACAGCCCTGTGAAGCCGAGGTGGAGGTCATGTTAAGTCATGCAGTCTGACTTCGTGAACTTTGAGCTGGGTGATTAGGAGGGAAAGGGAGGGGGGTTCTCCTTTTTCAATTTCTCCACTTCCTAGGTCTCTCCATTGTTCCAATTCCAAACAGCTGCTGGTGCTAATCTTTCGGTTATTTGCAATCAGGAGGAAGAAATACTCACACCCTAGAGTGCTCCGATATTAGCCCTGCCAGCCGAGCAAAGAGAGCACTGGAAGCTGAGGAGATGGAGGAAAACAAAACGGAGCAAAGTTATTGAACTCAGTTTGACTCTGAGCCTTTCAGGTACCTCTCTCAAACCTAAATCCTCACCGGCGAGAAAGCCATGGAAATGAGGCTTACAGGTACCGCATCACTTAAGGCCAGACCTGATTTTCCAAAGGTTAAACTCCTCCATCTACTCAAAGCCTGGCCGGAGCGAGAGGGGAGGGGGAAAATACCAACCGAGGGGAAAAGAAAGCACCACAAAAGCCCTGTTGGAGACCAACCTGGCGAGCTACGCCCAGGAGTGTTTCGTTCGAGCTGGCTTTGAAGGATTTCTATTTAATTATTACCAAGGAGGGCCAGAGAGACTGAAAAGGTCCAAGGAAGCTGCCGTGCAAAATGGACCGTCTTATTTACGTATGGATGCACGGGGTTCAGCCCCATAGGCGGGCTCTCCCTTCCCGTTCATTTATTCACCCGATTCATTAGAGCGATGGGTGCAGGTAACGAGAAGCTCCTCACCTTGAAGCATCCCGAGGGGGGCTTTCCAAGTTGCACAGACAGCAAAAAATAACTCAAGCCTTGGCTCGAAGCCTTAAAACCGGACTCCTAAAGTGGCTGGCAGGGCGGAGAGGGTCGTTTTGGGGTGATCCCATGAGTGTGCCGGGCTTGCCTGGCCCTCAGCCCTCTGCCCAGCCCCGCAGAGCCTTTATTGGTTTACTTAGGTGTTAATCCCTTAACAATCAAGTTCTCTGACCACGGAGCCCCGTCCCTATTCTTGTTTACATCTAATTAAGGGGCCGAAATGCCACTTCCCTTCCGCAGCCCCCCCCCTGCCTTCAACCAACTTCCATCTCCCACCCGCTTGCTTTGGGTTGTTTGGGGTTCTTTTTTTTAAGCAGGTAAATCGATCGAACGGCGAAATCCCGTCCCCAAATTCCACTTCCCCCGATCCAGCCACGTTCCCTTCCAGCAGATGAAAGGCAAAGCTCCCCCGTCCCGGTGTCACCAGCATCTCCGAGCTTGCCTTAATTCAATTAAACCTCGGAACGCCAGGAAACCAGCGGAGATCCACCCGAGCAAACCAGTAGCCGGGGCTAACAAAGGACCTTTCTTTGCAGAGGGTGCAAGGAGAGCCAGGCCAGCCCATGTGTCATCCAGCCCCGGAGACTCCCGGCTCTGCGGGGTTAACGATTCAGACACCACTGCGAGCTCTGGGACTGCAACTTGGCTTAGATAGCGTCTCAGCCCTGGGGCAATTCCTCTAAATCAATTTTCAAAACAATCAGTTTAGGGGCTTTTAATTAAGCTTTAAACCAGTGGTTAAAAATAGCAGTTTACTTCTTTGGGATGCAAACTAGGCTAGCATAAAAATAAATCAGAGAGACGGGCCCGCTGCCTTTTGGGATTCAGGGCGACGTAGATTATATACGTCCCAAGATTACGAGGATTTCTCTTTCTTCTAAGACTTATTCTCTATCCGAGCAGCTGCTCTTTCCATGCCAGACACCGAAGTGTCGGCAGGACCGCAAAGAGAGGGGATCCCGTGCAGCTTTCCCCAAACCCAAGCTAAGGAGAAAAGAATCAGGGAGGAAAGCTGGGAGCCCAGCTCAGCACATCCACCGGGTTTTCCTATATAAGGGGAAAGCAAAAATAAAAGGGGGGAGGGGAAAGGGGGAGGTGAAGCTATACGGACAAGAAACAACAACAACAACCCAGGGTGTTTCTGCAAAGAGGAAACCCCAAAAAGCCAGGCTAGATTTGAAGCTGAGCTGCTCAGCTTGGAGACCCCGCGATCATCCTCTCTGCTCCACCCGCGGTGATAAATTCGCCTAAAAGGTGAATTTAAGCTCCCTGGGCGCTTTTGTAGTTTAAATGGGAGCCTCCAGGTTACCCCCACCGCCCTTTGTTTAATTCTTCTGTGGCCGCAGCTAAAGGGACTCTCATAGGGCCCAGCTCGATACGCACAGCTCACACCTTTAAATCCCTTAAGCTCGCACAGGTTTTTGGCTCCCCAAACCCGGCCAGAAAGCAGATGTTTAAACGCAGCCCTCGCACCAAAGGCAGCTCTTAAAAGGGACCACAGCGTTAGGTTGATTAAAGAGTAATTAAGGGCTGTGGGACTCCTTTGGTGCTGCTCCTAGGACTCTCCTCGCCCGGAGGATTTCTCCCTAGGTGACCCAGATAAATTACAGATAGGGTTGAAATAACTTTTGTCCACGACGGACCGGGATGAGCCCGGCCCGCAAATCCCCGCACAGCGGTGGTTAATGAGGCAGTCATGCAAAACGCAGCGACTTAAACCTAAAAAGAGTCGGCTCGGAGTGACTTCTCCTTCCAGGGCTCCGCGGGTGAGTTTCGAGCCGTTCCCATTTCCATTCCCAACCCTCGGAGCTCGACCTTGACCCGGTTTGTCCCCGGTTTAATGGGGAAAAGAAGAGTCCGGCCGTTCCAGCATCCTCGAAGTTGGGTTTCTCTCCCCTTCTGTTCAGTGGGGAAAAGCCCCAAAACTCCCCGCGTGGAAGGAGGGGAAAAGAAAACAAAACAGAACGACCAAACAGAAATGAGCGAGGCTGAAAAATCAACCTCCCCGAGAGGAAACGAGGCGATGGGCAAAGGGAGAGGGAAAAAAAATCATCGGGAATCGGAGAGATTTCCTAAGCTGAACCGCTCGGGGACGGGGAGAAAAAACCTTCCCCCAAAGGGCTGCTACCCCCTCAAGAGCTGCTTTCCCCCGGAGGGCTGCTGTCCCCCAAACGGCTGAATTTCCCCGCTACTTCCAAGGACTTTCTGCTGCTCCTTTTCCTCCGTTCCTTCTCCCCCCGCCCCCTGCCTTCCCCCCTTTAGATCTCAGCGTGTTTGCTCTTGACTTCATCCACTAAGTCAATAGTTTGGAGATGCCCTCATCCTCAGAGGCCCGAGCCCCCGTGTCCCCTCCCTGTTTTCTCCTGCGGATAATGGCAGCCTTTTGTCGTGTAATCAAGCTCCCGAGGGGTTGGGAGACAGATATAGATTCTTGGCATTTGTCGGTGAAAATGAAAGCTGGATTAGGCAGAGGCGGCTGCACACTCCATGGTAAAGGACAACAACTATTCCCCCATTGAAAGTCCCATTCTGGTTTGGTTATTTTATCTTTAAAAGTTGTTTGTATTTCTAAAGTGGCCATTGATGCACTTAGAAAGTGTAGCAAGCTGTAAAGCCTCGCTTCAAATGAAAGGCGGACAGAGAGAGAGAGGGAGGGGAAAAAAAAGAGGAGGTTAAGGGGAGAAAACAGAGTGAGAAAAAATACCGTCATAAAAGGATGGAGAGGAGGGGGGAGAGGGGGTAAAAGAGTTAAAAAGATCCAATTCTGCCTAAAATCGGAGAGAAAAGTCACGAAGTCACAGCAGCCGGGGTTCGGCTCTGCTTTTTTCCCTTCCCGACGGAGAACATCGCGGAGGGGGGGGGGTGGAAAATGGGGTGGGACCCCTTGGGAACCCAACCCGGGGGGGGGTTTGGGTTTGGTTCCTTCATTGGAGAGCTTTGGTTCTTTGCAACCGAACTGGAAAGCCAAAGCGGATCCTCGCTTAGCGATGTCATAACCAGCAACAAGCGCTCTGTTTTCTCCTTCGCAGAGGTTTGCTGCCGAGCACTGATGGGGGAAGATCGTCCATCTCTGCACTGTTCACCTCTGCCCATTTTCTCCTGAGAAGCTTTGCCACTATAAATGTATAATTCCACCCCCATCCCCCCCCCCGAACGTCGCTTGGATTTAGCTCCATCTCCTCGTCTTTTAGACGTGTCTTAATCTGGGCTTGCGCCGTCCTTCCCTCCGCTGAACAGGAGGTAGAGAGGAGTGGGATATTTTGCTTTTAAAGGAAAGCATTCGTCAAACGCCCAAACTTTTCCCCTCCTTTTCAATACCAGGAGTGAAAATCGCAGTTTACCCGCTGCGAGCCGCACGCACAAGGGCTGGATTGTGGGCCGGATGGAGATTAAGGGGAAAACTCCAGGAAAAAAGCAGCAGAGCAACGAGGTATAAACCAAATGTTCACATTCTCCATCAATATATGTATATATATATATATAAATGAGGCTTCAAATAGCTCAATTTGCTGCTATTTAGCATCAAACGCTCCTCGAGAAATAGGGGGGGTGGGGGGGGGGAGGAAGGGGGGAAGAACTGGAAAGAATGAAGTTCCTAAATAAGGAATCCCTATTAAAAATAACAGCGGCTTTCCCTAACGGCGTGGCCGTCTGTATGGACCCTCACAATCACCAGCAGCTCCGGCTATCTGCCCTCTCTCGGATAATTTACACCATACAAAGCTTGGGGGCTATTAATCCCGTCGTCCCCCCCCCTCCACCCCCCCCTCCACCCCCCATTCCTATTCATGTCAATGTTTCTTTCTCTTTCCGAGCAATCAAATGTGCTGGAAACAATTGTAGGGAATTTAAACATGACTGTTCCCTGAATATCCCTCGACATCCAAGTGTCCTTTGTACGTTCAACCTCTCCTTTTAGAGACGCTTCTATACTTCGAAATGCAAAAGAAAGCAACCGTGGGCTGTGTTCAAGAGCCGGCCTGGGACTGATGGCACCCAAACCCCGCAATTCGAAATGAGTTTGATGGGATTTAAGGCTACTTCTGCGAACTTCAGGCGAGGCGAAAAATAACCCGAGCGCCTGAAGTTGCTCGAGAAGCTCATCTCGCCCAGCGTCAACTTTCCTCTCTCCTTTAATTTCCCAATAAATATGCAAATCGATTCGTCCCCACAAATGAGGGAACGGGGAAAATAAATAAATGACAGAATTGCGGTTCGCTTCGGACTTTCGCCTCCGTTGGAGGTTTGGGTGAGAACGGAAACGGCAGCGGGTTGGGGTTGGTCCCCGTGTTTTCCCTTCTCCATTCCCTCGGAAGAAAGGAAAATTACATTTTTCAGGCCCTCCCCCCTTTACCCCCCTGGATAAAAGCGGGGCAGCATCGCTGCCTATAAACGCCCTGTCCAAGTCCCTATAGCGATACAGCGGGGGGGGATGGCAGCCCCCAAAGAGGGGCTGTAGGGGCTGTCCGATGGGGTCACCCCATCACACACAACACACACACTTCGGGGACAGCCGCCTCTCCGCGGGGACGCAGCATCGCAGCTCCCCCTCCTCTCTGCCCCGTTTAAAGGGTCACTTTGATCCTCGATCTTTAGGGGCTCGGGACAAAGAAGCCACTGAAGGCTGAAGGCTGCCGGGTGTGTTTGTCGTCCCCCCCCCCCCCTTCTCCCCCCTCTTTCCTTCCCTCCCCACCTACCCCGAGAGAGAGCCTTGCAAACAGCCGTGCCCCCAACCCCACTCTTTTAGGGTCAGGCAAAGTGCTTCCTTCCAATTTTAGCAACAGCAACAACAAGCAAAAGAGAGAGGGGAAAAAAAAAAGAAGCTCAGAAAAGAGTGAAAACCAAGAAGGGCTTCCTCTGCCTTCCAGAAAGCCTCGGGGGCGGGGGGCAAAGGGATCGGATCTCCCCCCTCGCACCTCTGAGCATCCCTTCGTGCCTTCCGTGTCACCCTCACGCCGCGACCCCAAAGCCGCCCTGAGGGTTTTCCATTCCTCCCTCTCTAGGAAACGCGACCCTCTCTTTGAACGCCAATTATTTTCCCCCCCCTCCTCCTCAAAAGAAAAATATAGATTTATATATATATAAGCCTTTTTATTTTTAATTATTTTTTTTAAAGCCCTTGACTGCGTTTCTCGGGCAGGTGGAGGTGAGCCAGGAGCATCCCTTGAGTCCTGCTGTTGTATTATGAAGGGAAACCCCCTATTTCCATCTCCAGGAAGACTCGACAGGTGAAAATTAGTTCTTATCAGCATTAATATATAACGATTAAATTAAATATAAAAAAAAAGAAAAAGAAAAAGAAAAGAAAAAACCACAAACAAGCGCTTTGCTCCTCTTCCTCACCCCAAACCTCGGGCACAGCCGCGCAGAAGGGATGAGCTCAGCTGTCCTATGAGCAGCACGGAGCTGGGGACCCTTCCCCTGCAGCACAGCCATACAGCTCAGAAACGAGCCCAGGGTCCCCCCTCCTTCCCTCCGCAGACCCTACAGAGCCTTTGCGACAATTCATCACAGGACCCAGAGCCATCCAAGCAAGTAATGTGCAGCCTCAGATCTCCTATGTCCCACAAGACAGAGCGCCTGCTAATTAATAGACAGTGATTCCTGCGAGCAGCCCGAACAGTCTGTAATATGATGAACTTCCTTTGTACCGGTGTCACCACAAATGTTTCTGATAAGGAAAAGCATCCAAGGATCAAAGACTATAAGCTTCTCAATTTCCTCAAGCTGCCTCTACTTTTCCTCACCTACTTCTTCTCTTCTCCCCTCCCTCTGCGCAGCCCCGGCCCTTTTCCGTGAGCCCCGTTCTGCCTGAAAAAGCCCCAAATCCAACCCCGTCCCTTCACCCGTTTTTCCCCCCACAAACCGCTGACAAACGTCTTTATAACCAGGCATTCACTGACATCTCGTTTCTTTTGTGTCCAGCTCAACGCCGGCCCCGGGGCGGGATGAACCGAGGATGAGGATGGGGATGAAGATGAGGATGGTTTTGGGGGGTTGGGGGGATTCAGGGCAGATCTCCCTCCTGACTCCACCGCGTCCCCGTCCCGAACCGAGCTGCTCAACCGCACCTGCGCTTCGGTGGTGCTTTAATTCTTATTCTGGACCTGTTTGGGATGGATGGGATGAGAGGTAGCCCCCCTCCCCTTAAAGGACCCCCCCTCTGAGCACACATTGGAAGGGGATCGGTGCCACCAAGGCCCGGCCGGCAGCTCGGAGCCGCGTCCCCATCGCTGTCCCCCGTTCCCTGCAGCTCCCAGCATCTTCTCACCCACATTCCTCCAAAACAAAAAGGAAAAAAAAAGAAAAAAAAGAAAAAGGAAAAAGGAAAAATAAGAATAATAAAAAGAAAGAAAAATGAAAGAGCCCAAACCGGGCTGAAGTTCAGCTTAAATAAAAGAAGAAGAGGGAAAAAAAGGAAAAAAAAAAAATTTTTTTAAGGCCATTGGTGGAGAGAAGAGTTGTGTGGCAGCTGATAGGAATGGGCTGCTATTTTTTTTTTTTTAAGAATAGTCTCTATAAATATATAATATCTCCAAAGCCCAGGTCTTAAGAGGGTCCCTTATTTGCTTCTTTCTTTTGTAGGAAACGTAATTTTCAGAAAGATGCTTCCCCCCCCGCCTTACCCTAATGCTCGAGTAAGTACCTTACAGCTTTAAGGCTAGTGTTATATGTGCTTTAAAATCCTGCCATGTAAATTCCCCTGAAAAATTTGGAAAGCTTCTCGGGGGGGTACGAGTGGGGGTGTTGGGGAGGGGGGCTGGAATGGAGGAGGGGGAGAAAGGGGAGGTTAATCCGGGTTTAATGCTATGATGCAGTCACAGGACCAGGGCTAGGCTGATTGTGTTATCTCTTCCCAACATTTGGGTCTCCCATATTTCACCCAGCCAAATAGCTGCGAGAAAAAAGTGCGTATGGAGGCACTCCTGACGCCTCAGGAAAATATGTTATTAATATCTAAATAACTTCCCAATACTGTCTCTAAATCTCCCCTTCACCACTCCAGATGATGAATTCGTTTGAAGTGTTCTCCCGTCTCATCTTTTCAGTGTCTCTCTCCCTTTTTTTTTTTTTTCCCTTTTTTTTTTTTTATAACCAGGCTTATTTCAAACTGGTAAATATCTAATTCCTTTAACCACACTGCAGACACGTCTCTCCCCTTATATACAATTCTCATTTGCCGGGATCCGGATAGAAAACAGAGAATAAACCCCAACACCGCCTTCAACTCCTTCTGAAAATGATTCGGGCTTCGGGAGCGTCTTTTTTTTTGGGGGGGGAAGCACACCTGGATGGCACATCTGCCCTGCAGCCTCCCCGCTCCACCCCTCCTTCCCCAATTACCACCGAAAGCCCTGGATTAGAAATATATACCTTCCAGCTTCCTTCCTGCCCTCCTCTATCACGGCATCCATCTCCCCCCATAGCCGCTTCCTATCCCTCCCAGCCTATCACGTAATCTACCATTCACCTTCAAATTAGAGATTATTATGGCTGCCTTGTATTTCCTTCCCCTTCCTGCTGAGCCGACCCCCCCCTCGCTTCCCCGTACCCGCATTCCCCTTTTTCTTTGCCCTTTTCCTACAATTCAACCCATTCTTCTCCCCCACCCAGCGCCAAAAAGAAGGGGAGGGGACGCGCAAAACCCAAGCGACCCCTGGATCACAAACATCTCCCTTATATTATTTCACTTCCCACTGTATAATTGAACCTCTCTCCCCGCATCCTTGTCTTAAGTTTGTTTTTTAAGACGCCTTCTATTAGATTATACTCGTTCATTCCCCCCTCCAACCTTATCTCTCCTCCTCTCTTCTCTCCTTCCCGTCACACTCGATTTAGGAAGGAGTTTATCTTGCAAACATTTGCCTACTTTGTTTATGTAGACCAGGTTCTGCAGCTACTTGTTCCCAAAAGCCACTGTTTGCCTTTGTAATTGTTATCTGTGTTTATTGTTGTACCTCATTTGTCTCAGCTTTTTTTGTGACATGTAAGCTCCGTGTGTGCTCACATCCAACCCCCCTCCCTTCTCCCTCTCCCTGTATTTTTTTTCCCTTTTCCCTCCCCTCTCTCCTCTCTCTCTCTCTCTCTCTCCCTGAAATATGCACAGAATAACTGAGCCTAAAGCCAATGAATTGCTTGACACTACCCTATCTCTTTCCTGCCCCCCATTATTAGAGCTGATCCCACTCGCAACACTCACAAATCCCGCCTGGTCTCTGTTTGATTAGATTGCCAACCTTTCGTAATCCCTTGATTTGATGAAGTGTCTGTTCCCCCCCATTTCCCCCCTAAACATACATTGACAGAGAAAGCTCTTGTTGGTTTTACAACGATGCAGATTGTTTGCTGATAAATGGACCCGAACCCCCCCCGGCTCTTAGGGACAAAGCCACTTCCCAGGTGTGGCAGCGAGGGGCTGATCCCCCCCCCTCTTATTTTCCCCATATCCACTCCCCCGAATTAAATTACATTTGGCAGGACCCAAACAGCCTCCCCCCCCAAGAAAAGAACCCTAAACTCTACACCAGGGACTGCTATCACATTCAATCATTACCACCTCGGGGCGGGGGGGGGGATGGATAGGGGATGGTCACACCTGTTCACGCTTCCAAAACCTCAATACAGTTAAACGCTGCTCTGTATCCATCTCTTCCTACCGGGTTTCCCATCCCAACCCCGCGTATCATTTCCATGGGGGGGGGGGGGGGAACACAGCGGTGCAGCCATTGGTGCCCCGTGTGCCATAAAGAGGAGCACCGAAATAAAGGAACGGGAGGGAGGGGATGGAGATGCCAAACAGTAATGAGTGGTAAAAAAAACATAAATCATAAAAACGGGCGGCGATTAAGCGATTAAAAACAATAATTACAAGAAACAACAAGAAAATTAAGTGATTAATAATGCTTAATAACGCCAAGCCACCTGTCCGGCCTGATCCCAAACCCTGCTGCCATCCCCGCTCTGTTTCGGCACAGCGGCCCCGAACGGGACACCCGTGGCCATAGGGTGACACGCGGGGGGGTCATTCCTTTGCTGAAGCTCATCCCCCTCCTCCCATGCTTCACATCTGCTTGTAATTAATACGAGGCCTCGCCCGAAGTGTGGGCACCATCCTCAGCACCCCGTTAAATCCGGGGGGGGGTTCGTTTCCCCATTCACCCCCACGGTTCCACCTCGCATCTCCGGCTGCGGGGTGAAGTAAAGCAGCGCCATCACCCACCCGTGACCCTCCCTAATAAACCCCAAACGCTCACAAATGAAAGAACAACGAGAAACGACAACAAAAAAATAATAATAACTCGCTCTTAACAAGGATAAAAAAAAATAAATAAATAAAATAAAAAAAAAATAAATAAAAAATAAAGTGAAGCCTCATGAATATATGCCCAGGGCTAGCTGGAGTGAGCCGTTTAAAGATGAAAGTGCAAAGAAATAAAGGCTCAATTTAATCTGCCTTAAAACCCTTCAACTTAACGTTTGTGCTGGGAACTCAGAGAGTGAGTACTGATTGGGGATAAATACATTTCTTAGCATGCCTTGGAGCTATTACACCCTTCTCCAACACAGCTCCCTATTCAACAGCCACAGTTTTCATTACCAGCTCTAATAAGTCTTAACATTATTAAATGCCAAGCAGACGATAGAAAGAAACAGGCGCAGGGTGGAAGCTTTCTTTAACACTTAAAAAGAGAGAGCATTTAGGGCTGTCTTCCTCCGGCTCCCCGCGAGGAGAACCCGCAAATGGAGCAAAGGCGTTTGGCAGGAGGAAAAAGGCCAAAACAAAGTTTCCCCCTCTCCTTTTTCTCCCTCCTCCCCCCCTCCGTCCGCAACCATCATGAAAATGCCTTAAAAAAAAAAAAAGAAAAAGGGGGGGAGGGAAATAAATAGGAAAAATAAAGCGAGGAATACAAACACCCAACGCAGAGCTGGGAACGAGTGCCAGGAATGCGTTAATATATATATATATATTTAATAATAATTTAATATCAAACTTCGAGATCAATTCCCATGGAAGGGGCGTCGTGATTCCCGGCTCTAAAAGGAATAAATAGCAAAACGCCGCCTCGGAACCTTTTACGAACTGACCGCTCATTAATTATCTTAATTGGGGCTGTTTAGAAACTTTTCTCCGTATTGATGGCTGCTGTTATTATTGGTGGTATTTTTTAATTGCTCTGACAGCCCCGCACCCCGTTTCACCGCTGCCCGCTATTTCGGCAGCTCCGCAAAAGCAAAGCATTTTTAGGAGGTTTTTTTTTCCTTCAGATCCAAAGCAGGAGAAGGAGAAAATAAAACGCACGGGAGCCCAGCAGCCCATCAATAATGATTTATCTCCGGGAATGGGCGCTCCGCGGGCTGCGGCAAAAGGGAATCAGCCCAAATGAGCGCTCGATTCAAAGCGGGTTCCGCAAAGCACCCGCGGTTCGTTTTGATTTTAAGTTTATTTTTATTTTTTCCCCGAGAGAAAACAAACCAAAGAAAAATAACGAAACAGCAACGACCTCGAGATGTAAAAATCGTTACTTTTCCCAGCGATGCGACCCGGAGAAAAACCACCTCTCCGAAATGAAACCCGACGCATCGCGCGGTGACGCGGGGGCAGTTTTTCCCCCTTCCACACAATGGGCTCCGATTTGCAAATGAGCATCGCCTATTTCCAAATCACAAGCAACATTTTGCAACGTCCAACGGCTCGCCTTTTTTCCAACAGACGGTCCTATAATATTACAAAACTATCTAACAGCAGGGAGTTTTGAATAATTTATCTCCCTTTCTTCCCTTCCTTGGCCCTTTGTCCCAACTTTTTCTCCTCCTTGCAGAATTTTGAATGAGAATAGAGAAGCCCTCCCTCCCCCATCCTTCTACTCCATTTTTAAGGCAGCCTAGGGTTTTTCCCCTTCTTTTTTTTCCCCCTTTCTTACACCCCCCCTCCCCTCCACACCCCTTTTTCTTTTTTTTTTCCTTCCAGTGTTTGCTTTTGTGGCCGGGAATCTTTTGCTTATAAAGCTTCAATAGACTCGAAGGTCTTTGTAAGTGAAGTTCATCTTCAAGGTTGGAAAAAAAAGAGAGAGAGAGGGAGAGAAAGGGGGAGAGAGATCGGATCCTTAAAGAACCCCCTTTTGTGCACCTTCATTTAAACGTTTGATGGTGACACGGAGAAGCTTTTCTCTGCCCCGAATTCCCCGCACTTCAATATTCCCCCCCGAACTGGGGAAAACTTTGCAGCCTAGTGAGAAACTTTGTGGAAGCTCCGTTGCCGATACGGCAAACCGGCCCCCAAGCCTCGCAAGCCGGCCTCACCATCGCCATTTTGCCATCAATTCGGGGGCAAAAATAAACAGCAAAACCTTCATTCTTCAGGCTTTCCTACGGGACTTCGTAATTCCCGCTTTCCTCCCCCAAAAAGCGCTTGGACGCGACGAAATCATTCCGTGCCTAAAGCAAAACCTCCTTCCCGTCCCTCCAACTTCCCCCCTGGTTTCACAAAACCCTCATTGCCAAACTTCGATTATTTTCGCTAAAAATACCGGTTTCCCTTCTTCTTTATTTGTTTTTTTTGTTTGTTTGTTTTTTTGGAAGGCTGAGGACTCGTCTCCCCCACCCAGCCTCCCAAAATGACATTTCCAAAGCGCCACGAGCTCCAAAACCTCGCATTCCCCGCCCTCCCCCCCCCCACAATGAGAGACAAGTGCAGTGTCACCGGGTCCCCCCTCTCCGAGCTGCCCTCAAGCTTTCCACCAGCAGCCCCAGCTTTATTATCCCTATTTATTATTTGCCTATTTATTATTTCCCCCCGAGCCCGGTGCTGGTGGCTCTCACTGCAGCCCCACAGCAGCGCGCATCCCGTGCTCTCTAATTGATATTGATTGGCCAAATCGGTCAACTGTCAGCCAGAGTTTCAGGGGACCACTTAGAGAGCAGGAGAGAAATCTGTTTAACAAATTCATTTAGGAATCAGAGATGCCTCCCCTCAGTCATCTCCCTTTATAAATAATTGATCTGGAGCGGCCGCGAGCGAAACACCGACAACTCTTCCGTGCGGGGATGAGAAAACATCACAACCCCAAAGGCTGGGTACCAGCAGCCCCAGCAGCATCACACCTTGGCTCTGCCATCAGCCCTACTTGGAAAGGACAGCTGTAAGGCTCTGCAGCCAATCCCTTTCTTATTCCCCATCTAAAAAGCCGTGGGCCGTGTTCCCAAAGGTTCCCCCCATCCTAAAGGTTCCCCCAGTCCAACCTGGGGCACGCGTGGCCGCCTCTACCTTTGTCGCCCAGGATGCCATCTATGCTGTGCTTGGCCTTCTTCTCCCCATCTTCCTCCTTCTTGTCGCAGTCCTCCTCTTCCTCTTTCTTCCCGAATTTGATGCGTAGCACACGGCTAATCGAACTCACTAAACCTCAGACAGTCAAAGACAAGAAGGCAAGTATAAGCTGCCTGGGAACGGACGGGGGAAACCCAAGCTGGAGCCTCATACACATCAAGGGCACCTGCACCTCTTTGCCCACTCTTATGCACCCACTCCTTCTGCCAACTGCGCCCAAGCACCCCTCAGTTCACCCAAGTGACGACAACTGGGGTTCCTGAAGATGGATGCATCCATCACCAACCCCAAAACACCCGGCCCTGCTCATGGGGTTGCACGTCCCAGGGTTCCCACCTGCTTTGTGGCAGGGAAAATGTCCCCAGCTCTTGGCTTGCAACCCTCAGTAGGACCAGGAAAGGCCCAAAAGTTTGGATTCAGCCTCCCCAGGACCCCACTTTTGGGGATCTGTGCCCTGCAGAGCAGGCTCAGCTCCTTTGGAGCAAGAGAGGAACTCTGAGCCAAAGGAACCAGGACCTAAAAAACATCCAGACCCTCAGCACATCTCAACACTGGGGTACAGCATCATTTTCAGTGAGCGATGGCATTCCTGGATGAATGGAAGCACCGCTGTGCATCCTCAGTGAGCAAGACGTGGGCTGAAGTCCCACTTTGGGATCTACCCCATGCAAGCTGCCCTCAGGTTGGAGACCCCCAGTTGTCCCCAGGGAGCTGGGATAACTTGGAAAAACCGCTTTGGTTTGCATCCATCCCCATGCAGAGCAAGGAGCAAGAGGATGCCGGAGACAACCATGCCCCAAAACGCCTTTTTGGGATCACGGGTGGCCTTACGGCCAAGCTGCCTTCTCACCTGAGGGCACAGTGCTGCGGTCGCAGTGTCCATCCTTCAGCAGCCTGTCCCGGATCTCCCAGCTGAACATCCCAGGGTTTTCCCTCTTGTATTCCTCGATTTTCTTCTCCACGTCGGGAGTCGCAACCTGCTTTTGTGGTCAATGGCCACCGGTGCGTGCGTGAGCAGAGGGGGGGAAGGGGAGAGAGAGAAAAAGCCCTTTTAATTGAAAAATTACACCGGGCTGCTAGCTTTGGGGGCAAAAACAACAAAAATAGTTGAATCTGAGGGATGGGAAGAAGGAAAATAAAGCTGGGGAGAGGTATGAGGTTGTCCCCCAGGTGTGGATTCCATTTGTCCCCCTTAAAACTAAAGGACAAGGAGATGGCAAAGATGGGTTTAACCTGAGATGGAAGGAAGGAGGGGATGCGAGGGATGCTTTTTTGGGGGGGTGCTGTGTAAACCTGAAAGCAAACAGGGGCCGAAGGAAACGCTCGAATGCTTGCCACTTGTTGCACGCTGAAAACCCCGTTAATTTAATCCCATCCTGCTGCCCGGCGCTGTTTTCTCCCCATCTTTGCTCAAAACCCGTTCGTTTCTTTCATCCCTAAATTCACCCCTTCTCGTCCCAAAAGAAGATCCCTCCCCGGCTGCTTCCTAACACCGCGTATCGGGCCCGTAACGCGGCCCCACATTGCACTCACCCTGGGCTTGCTGCCCCCGATGGCCCCGGGTCGGATGGAGCCCGTCTCTTGGTACCTGCAGAGGATTTTGGAAACGCAGCCGTGGGAGACCCTGAGCTGCCTGGAAATCACGCAGGGCCGGATCCCGTGGTGAGCCATCTCCACGATCTTGTGGCGGATGTGGTTGGGCAACGGGCGCCCGTTGATGAAAACCCCTCCGAGTTGATTCACCCGGCCCTGGCCCAGCGGGGTGGACACTGGGAACGGGGGGGGGGGAGAGAAAAATGGTGAAAAAGGGCAAAAAAAATCCGTCAAAATTCCACGCATCCCTCCCCGCGCCTCCAGTTTGCATCCCAGAGATTTGCACCTCTCCACCGTGTCCTAAAATAGGGGCAAAACCCCTCCCGTCCCGTGGAATTGCTTTTTATCCCGTATCCCCGCGGTGCCCTTCGCTGTAGGGGAAAGTTTTGCAGTTGAAAATAGGAGCCGCGCATCGCATCACCCCTCCGTCCCCTCGGGGTTACAGAACTTGGGGGGTTTCACACCTACACTTTGAACCAGAGCCGAAAGAGGAGAAGATTTAAAACCTGGTGGCAAAGCCAGATAGGATTAAAAAAAGAAAAAGGAGAAGAAAAAAAGTTCGCACTTCTCCCCGAAAGCGCGCAGCGCTCCTCGCTCCCTATGAGGGGCTCCGCGTCCCCGATGAGGGGCTCCGCGCTCCGAATTAATGAGCGGCTCTCTGTTTGCGACCCAACTTTTGGGAAACAGGCTCTCGAAATCCCCTCGAGGGTTTCTTTCTACGGGTTCGGAGGAGCCGCGATGCGCGGCACCTGCGGGGTCGGTATTTCGCGCTGTAGATTTCGGAGATTAATACGATTTCACAGGCTTGGAAATTAGGGGGAGGGGGGGGGAAATTAAAAGAAAAAAAAAATACGGAGGGAAGAACTCAGCTGCGCAATTTGCAGCGAGGCTGGAGGGGGCGAGGGGGTGATTTTCTCTTTACAAAGAAAAGTCGATTCCAGAAATTGCCTCGCGATTTAACAAGAATCATGCACCACTAATTCAAAGTCACTTGGCCAGCACTCCCTGGATATATCATTATCGACAGATAACACTCGAGTGGCCAATTTTACATTCAAGAGGTACTAAAACCGCCGCCCGCTCTCTCTTTTCATTATTCCCAGTCATGTTGTGCAAATATTGTTGTAATCCTTTGATCCTTTCCCTTGCCGTCTGTTTTACTTCATTTGCTACAGAAAAGCACTTCAGCAAATCCCCCCAGCTTGTATGTTTTGCAGTCTGCGTGGCTTTCCCCAGCTCTGAGTTTCGCCACTTGATCACGGTCTGTATGAAATTCTCCTCTTTAATAAATGCGGGGAAAGGGCTCCTACTTTAATTCTGATTTTTTTTTATTATTTTTTTTTAATTTTTAATTTTTTTTTTTTTAATTTATTATTATTCCCTCGCACAGCTTTGGGCAGAAATCATAAGCCGGGCGGCCGCACAAAGGGAAAGAAAACGACGGGGGAAGTTGGTGGCTCCGCAGTGGAGATGTCATCCCCACGGATGACACTTCTCGAGGTGACAGCTCCCGTTTCCCCCCCTTTTTCCTCGGCCGAAGCACCGCATCTGTTCCCAGCCCCAAAGCTCCGGCTTTGGCTTTTATTTTCCTGGGGAGAAGTTTGGAAACAATCGGTTTTTCTTGCTTTTTTGTTTTTCCCCTCCTCCTTTCTTTCTCTATAGGGCCGGGACTCTTTGAGTTTGGGAAACGATAATAGTAGCCATAGCAAGAAAGGGCGAGCCTAAAACCCGCTCCTAACTCCTCGAAAAGGGCGGAAAAATAAAGGCGCGACGTGAGAAAAGAGCTCCGACCTCCCCAAAGTTGGATGCTCCGCACAGGATCCCCCCCCCAAAACCCCCCGTCTTCACCCAACTCACCTCTCCCCGCTTTCAAATCCATCCCAAATTCATCTATCTGAAGCTGTCCTCGCACACGTTAACATAGATATACCTACCTTCTAAAGGGAAGCCGGTGCGAGGGTAGTTTTGCCCCGGCGCCGGGCGCATCATCCGCGGTACCGTCCCGGGGAGCGCTGCCATAGCGGGGGGCGGCGGAGCGGCTCCGTACGGATCGGGGTCACCCCCGAACCCCGGGAGAGCCGAAAGATCAACGGGTTTTTTTCCTTCTCTGTTGGTCCCAATGAGGCTGGAAGGGCTTTCGGTGGTTTTCCAGCCCCGGCGGCTGTTTTTTTTAAAAAAAAAAAACAAAAAAACCAAACAAACCCAAACGAACAAGGGAGAAATCATTGCTCCGAATGAATGAAAACAATAATAATTAAAAAATCGTCATCAGAGGAATCGTTAACGAGGTGGGGGGGGTGAAATGATGGGGGGTGAGGGGTGAATGGAGAAGGGGGTGGAGGGGGGGGGGGGGGGGGGGGGGGGGGAGAAATATCACCCACCAGAAATCCCTCGGAAAGTTTTCGGGCTATGTCACAACCGGCCTGAGCGGGCGCTCCGGAGGAATGTAACCCAGACTGCAGGGAGAAGCAGACACATCCAAAGTTGCCTCGGTGCTGGGTTGGGCTTAAGGATGGGGGGGCGTAGGGGGAGCTGAGTTTTTCCCCCTCAAGCTGAGGTTGTTGGTTTTTTTTTTTTTTTCCCCTTATTTTTGTTACCGCTGCTTTATTTTTTTTTTCACCTCCCCACCCATCCACCCTCCTTGCCTCTTTTTTTTTTTATTATTTTTTTGGTGGTGTTTCGGAGATGGGTGGGAGGAGGGTTTGGAAGTTGTTAAAGAGCCCAACTTGGGGCGGTGTGGGGAGGATAGAAGGAGCCCCGGCGCTGTGATAGGCTCCGGCTCCTTTCTTTTATTCATGACCGGGGATGGGGGTACCGCGCCGGGGCTGAGGGACCAATAAGAGGCAGCAGCTTCCCAACACGCAGGCAAATCTACGGGCTCGGGTTATTTTGTTAGGCGCTATTATTCATTACTAGGCTTGGCTTCTTTTTGATGGAAAGCTGGGGCTCACCCCCCCCTCCCCCTTCCCCTTTTCTCCCCTCTCCCCCCTTCCCGTTTTTTTTTGGTAATATATCGTGGAGGAAAACTTTAGGATAAAGGATTTTGTTTCTTTCTCTTTTTTTTTTTGGCTTCACAAACTTCAGCACTCATCAATCAGGCTGGAGCATCCGTATGCATCCCAAAGGGGTCACATCCTGCCCCAGGTTCCATATGTACCAAATCTCCCCTAACAAACGACACCCCCCCCCCCCCCTCCGATCCCAAGGGTCCAAATATGCCAAATGGTTTCCAAATACACCAAATCCCCCATAGCAAACGACCCCCCCCGAAGCTTCTGGGGTGGGATTGGGGGTGATGAGTTCCAAATATACCAAATATCCCACAGCAAACGTCCCCCCCCCTCCCCTCCCCCGAAGCTTCTGGGGTGAGGTTGGGGTGATGGGTTCCAAATATACCAAACCCCCATAGCAAACTGACCCCCCCCCGAAGCTTCTGAGGTGGGGTTTGAGGTAATGGGTTCCAAATATCCCAAATATCCTATAGCAAAAACTCCCCCCCCCCCCGAAGCATGGTGATGGTGGATGATGGATTCCAAACATACCAAATCCCCCATAGCAAACTGGCCCCCCCGAAGCTTCTGGGGTGAGGTTTGGGGTGATGGGTTCCAAATACATTAAATATCCCATAGCAAACTGCCCCCTCACACCCCCCGAAGCTTCTGGGGTGGGTTTGGGGTGATGGGTTTCAAATACACCAAATCCCCCATAAAAAACGACCCCCCCTCAAGTTTCTGGGGTGGGATGGGGGGTGATGGATTCCAAACATACCAAATCCCCCATAGCAAACTGGTCCCCCCGAAGCTTCTGGGGTGAAGTTTGGGGTGATGGCTTCCAAATACACTGAATATCCCATAGCAAACTGGCCCCCGAGAAGCTTCTGGGATTGGTTTGGGGTGATGGATTCCAAATACATTAAATATCCCATAGCAAACTGCCCCCTTCCACCCCCCCGAAGCTTCTGGGGTGTGTTTGGGGTGATGGCATTCATCCCTGCTGTTCCCAATGTTTGAGGATGGGTGGCACCTGCCTTTCAGAGTCCCTTCCACATCACCCCCCCCCTTCCCCATATAGGGACGAAACGAGACCCAAACCCCTCCACTCCGCTCTCCGTAGCTTCCGACGCATCTCCTTCATTAGCATCCTTAATGAATTGGATCATCCCTACGGGTCCCATAGGATAGAACGGGTAGAAACGCGGTTCTGCCCCGAGCTGCCCTCTCGCTCTTTCCTTCCAGTCACCCAGGTGCCATAGGGGCGGTTCTCGGCCCTGTGACCCGGGACGGGCTGAACAAATACCCAATGTTTTCCCCCAAAAAGTGGGAATGGGGCAGGAATCCTCCTCTCAGCGGGGCATGACGCCAGGGCTCGCGAACCCTTTTGTTTGCAGCTGTAAAAGGACTTTCCGTGCAAACCGCTGGAAACTTCTCTTTTCCCCCTCCTTTAAAAAAAAAAAAGAAGAGTCCTGGGGGGGGAAATGAAGCAGCCAGAGCCACTTCTGAGCTGTCTGGACCCAAAATGCGGTCCCTAAATTACCCCCTCGCTCCCCTGAGGGCACCAATACCCCCTAATCCCCCTCATCACCCCCCCTTTTCTTTTTCTGTGCTTTGATGCCCCACCGCATCTTCGTCGCTCGCACTCTTCCTCTGCCCCTCTCCCCGCCTTCGCGGTGTAAACAGGTAAATATGTTTGTGAGTCGAAAGGCCGTGCCGAAAATACTCGGAAAAATAAGGAGGAAAAAGGGGGAAGAAAATGTGAGGGGAAAAGGGGGGAAATAGGAGAGAGAAAAGAAGGGGGAAAAGGGGAGGAAAGAGGAGAAAAAGGAGAAAAGAGGGGAGAATGGGAGAAAATGGAGGGGAAAGGAGAAAAAAAGGGGGGGGGGGGGGGAGGAAAAAAAAAAGGAAATGGGGGGAGAAAGGGAAAACAGGGGGGGAATGGGGGAAAAAAAGAGAAAATAAAGGGGAAGAAATAAAGGGGAAAAAAAGGAAGGCTGAAATTCTTCCCGAGGTGTCAAGTTCCTCCCAAAGTCTCCTAACCTCGTTCCCGTGGGTTGGGGATCCGGCTAACAAAAATAAAGACCTTCTCCCCCCCTCCCCTCCGGCCCCAAAAGTGCCGATGCTGGAAGTTTTAGGCACAAAAATAACGGGGGAAAGGAACGATCCTGGCGCTGCTTCTCTGCCGCCTTCCTTCAGCGCGGCCGTCATTCAATGTTTTGCCATTCATTGGGTCAGAGCCTGGGAATAAAGTTGAAAATTCAATATTAATACTGCAAAAAAATTCTTTTTTTTTTTTTCCCCCCCCTTTTTTTTTTTTTTTGGCTTCTGCTCTGCTTCATTACCCACGTTGACAAAGGAGAGACCCCTTCTTTTCTCTCCTGGGAGCAGCGAGCAATAGATTAAAACAAGCATCAATCAGGAAAAGGAGCAAGGAAACTGCTTAAAGGAGCAGGGCGGAATTCCTCCCCGCTTCCCCACTTCCCTGCACATCTCCATGGTTTCCTAAGGTATGTTTCTGGTTGATAAATGCCCCTGTATCTCTGGTCCCTTTGGGGGAACGGCTGTAAATCAGCGCTGAAAGGCAGCTCGTAAGCAGGAGGGAATGGGGTTGGGGCTGGTTTTGGGGAGCATCTCACCTCTGCGCCGCCTGAGGATGGGAGGGGGGGGGTTGTAAGGGATCCCAATGGGAGCAAAAGGGCTCTGGGGTGAATTCTGCCCTATAGGATGATGCACCCAGGGGGGTTAATTCTCCCTTATAGAAAGGCACATCCAGGTTAGCCCTAAACCCACAGATAGGAGCACCCCAACCCCACCAATGTGCACCGTGCTCCCATGGACACCCTCTTAACCCCAATAAAGTCCTTCTTTTGCTTTTTTTCCCCCCTTTTTCCCCCCAGAAAATTAAATTTCTAGGGCAACGCAGATCTAGAATCGAGCCATCCTTGGACGATAAGCAAGCAGCTCATCTGCTGAAACCTGAAGGATTTAATCGCCGATACTTTCCCCCACAAGTAGGGAAAATGCAGGAAAAAAATAATAATAATAAAAAAAAACCCAACCCCAAACCGCCTGGGGATGAATTATTTAATGAAAAGTTGCTACCTTCTGCAATTACAAGAAGATTACTAATGTGGGAAGGTTTTCCATTTGAGATCTTGGAGTAATAAGCATTATTTTTGTAAGCGATTATCCAATAAATCTCTCTTTAAAGGGCGATAAATCCACCTTGAAAACCAAGGGATTTAAAAAAAAATATTTCAGAGGGGCTTCCGCATTTTTCAAAATGACCATTGGAGAAAAGCAGAGGAACGCACTGAGGCTGAAGTGTTTGTTTTGTCAGAAAGGAGAGGAGGAATATTGGCAGAGCTCGAAGCGAGCGCAGGAAAGCTGGGAAAGCAGGACGGTGTTTGAGGGCTCCTTCGCAGGGAAGCGAAGTGAAATTTGCACACGAATGCTCAGGGCTGCAAAAACTCCTGTGTGCTTTGTGTTATTGGGCAGCTGGAGGAGATGCAGGCTGGGTGCAGTGACTGCTTGAGCGCCCTGCAGCTCCCCAGGGTGAAGCACGGCGCCCATCTCATGAGTAGAGCCCAAAACCAATGGTTATCAAAGACCTTTGGCCAACGCGTGGGGATGCAAACTGAATTCAGTGCACCGTTTGCTGCAGGTGGGTTAGAAAAGGCAAAGAGGTCAGGGAAAGAAAGCTAAGGGCTGAGTGCTCTGCTCCAGACCTCAACACTTTGCTTGCAAGGTCTCCATCCTCTGCGTTCCTCTTTCTTAGGGATCATTTGCAAGGGATGCTCCCAGCTTCCGTGCTGTAGAGGAGGAACGTTTCATGGAGCCCTGAGGTTGGGTGAAAACACTTCCCACTTCCATCCTGCTTCTAATCCTGCATCATTTCTCACTGCAGAATGTCCTTGCAAATCCTCCCCCAGTTCTGCAGAGAGCTCAGTTGGCCACGCTGCCAGCTGACGCACGTAACCAGAGTTCAGATCTTTCTCCTAAGACAAAAAAACCCAAGAGCAAAACTCCTCTCCCCATCCAGATACCAAACAAAAGGCAAAGTGTCACAACAGCACCGGGCTCTGCCTCTCTGCTGGGTCAGGTTTAATTTGCCCACAGTGAAGTATTAATAGGATGTAAGCTGCGTCCTTGAGCAATTACCTTATCAAAGCATAACATCTATGGAATGAGCAAAGTATTTTCATTAAACAAATCAAAATAATAAGGCTGGCAATGGCCTCGTTCATTCTTTGAACCTCTAAGTGGCTTTTGAGACGTTCTGCAGCTCCACACCAACTTCTATTCCTCTTGGCTTTTCTAAAGCAGATTAACTCCTCCTTGCTGAAAGGCTCACTTCTCTTTCTGATGGGGTGCACGGACTAATTGGGTTTATTCTACAACAGGAATCCTGTGCTCCCGCTCCCATGTCCCATTCCACATGGGTTTTGGAGCAGAGAA